CACTGATTCAACAGTTTCTACCTGTACAATTCAGTGACGTTGACCACATGCTTTAGTTGTGCGACCATTCTCACCCGCCTTTTCCAAATTGTTCCTCCCCCATTAACATCACCTCACTGCCCCCTAAGTTTCCTATATAACTTTTTGAGCTGCTGTTGTTGACTTAAAATGTCAAGTTGTTGTTATAGATGTTTCACCACAATTGGAAATAAGCAAATAAATACGTTAGTAAATAGACAAATCAATAATCAAGACCCAGGTGCCCATGTGCCTTTGCACACTAAATCCCCAGTGGCCCAAAACCCAGAACTGCCACCCCAGGTGGTAGGTGGGTAGACAACTGGCGGGTTAGCCCAGAGCCCAGACTGGCTCTGGCCCCACAAGGCTCCAAGCACATCCTCAGCAGGCTCCCCGAATGGTACAGGGAACAACTCTGTCCAAGGCCCTCTCCCTTGCTGGGTCCCAAGTTGTCAAGGCCAGCAGGTGTCGCAGTAAAAGGAAGAAGAGTCATTCAGGGAAGGGCCTGTTATTGATTTCCCTCACCAATACCTTCTTCCACTTTCCAACCTCAGCCAGGACAATGAATTCCTTAGCCTGTGGCACCAGACTGGTTTCCACATTCTACTAAATACAAGTGAGCCCCTCCTCAGTCTCCACCACAGTACATGGAGAATGGGACTTAGAAAGGGGGTGGCTGGTAATTCTTCACTTTGCAAAGCTTGGCCGGTAAGTTCCCTTCACAGAACCACTCAAGAGCATTCACGGTATCAAATAAAGTTGTCAGATAAAGTGGTGTATCTGTTCTGCCCTCAACCTCGTCCCTGCACTCACCTTGAGTCCATGGGAACTCCGGACTATGGGCTTGGGTTGTGGTAGCCGCTGCTCCTCACTTTCCTTCTCTTTGCCACACTTTACTTTCTTAGATGGCAGAGATTCTGTCATGTCGTCTGGCTGCCACTTGTTCTTGCAAGCGAAGACCCCAACACTTTCCTGTTTCACGCGTGCCTGCCCAGCCTTGCCCCTAACCTCAGCCTGGCCCCTCTGGGGAGCTGTAGGGAGGCCATCAGCCCGGAAGCAGGTGGCTAGATTGAAGGCCACATCACCATCCACCTTCTCCAGTTTTACCCGCCCCAGATCCACCTGGTTTCCAAGCTGTGAAAGCTCTGTGCTGGAGCCCCTCTTGCTGCTCGGAACCACATCCAAGATGAGTTCCTTGGGGTGGCTGTCATGAGGTAGCAAAGGCAGCTCGGGCATCTTGCGCAAGTTCTGGGGGGTGGCCATGACCAGATCATGGGACATGTAGGTGGCTAGCACTTGGTTCTTGGGCTTAGTGTCTCCAGCCAGCTTGAGGCCACAAGCCCCCTGGGGGCCTTCCATCTTAGGAGTGCTGTCAGAGCAGAGGTGGTTCTCTGATTCCTCAGGCCCCTGATTCACTCTTACGTCCCCACCACTAGGCTGGACAGACAGGGCCAAGGTCCCCGTCTGAGGGCTGAGAGTCAGGAGGACAGGGTTGACTTGTTCTTCATAAGGCTTGGCAGCAATCCGGCAAGTTTTGTTCTTTGTGATGGTGTCCTGCTCTGGAGCAAAGGGGACCCCAGACCTTGGCTGCCCCTCAGGAAGTCCATGCACAGCTTCACTGGAGCTGAGAGGCGGCACACCAGAAAACTCAGAAACCACACCGGTGGGCCTGATGGGTACCCCCTGACTGGAGGTCAGCTGCCCAGCATTAGAAATGCCAATGGAAAGCACAGATGCTTGGTGGTACGGTGACCAGCCAACAGGCACGACCTGGGTGCCGGTGGATTTCCCATTGACTGAACACCGTGGATAAATATTTGCCTGCCCTGTGGGTTTCCACAAAGAGAGCTCCTTGGTTTGGCACCCTGGCAGCCCAGGGGCGATGCGGGCTGGGGTATAACGTTTGACTGTGCTTGGCTGTCCCTCAGCACCAGCCTGGCTGCCTTTCTTGCCACAGGGGGCACCAGTGTTCTTAGGCTCTCCTTGATCAATGATGGAGATGGGTTCCTGCTTGGGGAGATGGCGGGGGTCTCGGTTGAGGCCCAGGTTGGGGTCTTTGTTCAGCAGCAGGGAGGCAGGCACCGGGTTGGCCACTCCCACATAGGTGCCAGGAATGGTGCTGATCAGTGCAGTTGAGTTCTTCACCCAGGTGCTCGGGTCCCCATTCCTCACGACCTCAGGAAAGATGACAAAGGGTGAGGACGTGGAGCCCAGGCATGAGGTGACACTGCTGCCAGCAGCCTGAGTTGTGCGCTGAGACCTAGAAAGGACTGTGGAGAGGAGGGCCTTGCTGCTGGTGTGCACAGGGGTCAACACTGGCATGGGAGGCGTCTTGCGCTGGTTCGGCAATGGAAGCTTCTGGCGATTGGACTTGGACGAGAGGTCAAGGGGCATCTCACTGCACTCAGGCGGAGAGGCCATCTCTCGCTCCAGCTGTGGAGGTGACTTGAGGGGAGAGAAGGTAACGGAAGTCCCTTCTGTTTGCTGCTCAGCACCACCTGGCATCTTGGCAGGGTGCGGTGGGGCTGAGCTCACGCTGGGGGCCGGCAGCAGAGGCTGTGGAGTTGGAAGCACCTTGGCAGAAGCAGTGGAGAGGGAAGTATCTGCCAAAGGCCCAGGGACTCCATCGGGTGCAGGCTGGGTGCTGGTGCTGCTAGATTGGGATGCACAGGGGAGCCTGTTCACCTCCAGAGACACCAGCTTGGACTCTGAAGTCAGAGGCCGGGCCACAGAGAATGCATATGGGTAGGACCGGAGCTCTGGGGAAGCCAGCACGCCAGGAAGACACCTGTCCTGCAGATAGGATGGCAGGACAGGGAGTGTAAGAGTGGACGAGACCCCTAGGGTGGTTGGCAGTGTGGCCACACTGAGTGGCTGCCCACAGCTCGGAGGAGGAATATAAACCAGCGGCTGGCTCGGGGTCAGCACTGTCCCTGGCTGAAAGGACAAGGGGACTTTTTGCATAGTTGGTGCCTGGGCTGCAGGAAAACACACCCGACTCAAACTAAAGGAGGCCGAGATCGGCGCAGAGGTGGGAATGACAGTTGGTGTGGCAGCCGGCATGGGCGTGGGGGCTGGAGTAAAGATGGGGGCCGGGGTAGGGGCAGGTACCGGTGTAGGGGCAAAGGCAGGGATGAGGGTGGGAGTAGAGGGTGGGCCGGAAGATGGGGTTGGGGCAGGCATTGGTACAGACGGAGGGGCAGGAGCAGCTGGAGGAGTGGATGCTGGCATGGGGGCCAGAACTGGAGTAGGGACAGGCGCCAGAACCAGGGTTGGAGCGGAAGGGGGCACAGGAGCCTGGATCAGAGCCAAGGGAGGAGCTGAAACTGGGACTGAGAGCGGGGCAGGGGCTGGAGCTGAGAGGGGAACTGGGCCCGAGAGGGCAGCAGAAGCCGGCACGGGCACCAAGACCGAGGCCGAAACAGAAAGGGGGTTCGAATCAGAAATAAGTGTGGGCACTGATGGTGGGGCTGGAGCCAGAGCCGGGACTGGCGCTAAGGGAGGGGAAGGCGCTGGAACCGAAGTGGTTACTTGGACAGGAACTAGGCCAGAATGGGGCACCGGGGCAGGGACAGAGAGAGGAACCTGGAATGGATCCGGAACAGACGGGGGGACAGAGGCTGAGCCAGGAGCAGGGGGACAGATGGGGGTCGGCAGCGAGCTGAAGTTAGTGGTAACCAGAGGCAGGGTCCCTTCCACAGGGACTCCAGTTCCCAGAGTTGCCAAAATGAAAGTATTCTTCTCCCCGACACTGTGCCGAGAGTCCAGAGCCTTCCCCCCGGCTGCAGAGCAGCCGACCTGCTTGCTCATCTGGGTGCTGATCGGGGTCCAGGAGCAGTCGGCCCTGCTGTTGCCGGCCTCCGTGCTGTCAGAAGTGGGAAGCTTGAGCCCGTCCCCTGGGCTGCTCAGTGGCACCAAGAGGCCCTCGGCTGCTGCCACATTCCCAGCATAGTCCATTTTCAGCTGGGTGTCGTCAGGCTTTTCTTCAGACTTGTGCCCAAGTTTTTCTGTTGCATTGCCATCTGGGTCTGCCCCCCGGGCATTGCTGCCACTACCAACTGCTGTGAGCTCCACCTGCAACGACAGAGCAGCATGCATGTCTTAGCTAGCTCCCGGTAGTTGGGGCAAGTATCCCCTGATCCCCAAGATACCCCTGCAGGTCCTCTCTGCAACTCGACCAACCAGGTCTCGGCAGGGCCACAGAGCAGCCAGTCAATTTTTGTCTCACCTACAGCAACACCTGGGAAACACTCTGGCCCTTCCCACCCCACCCCCTTTATTGGGATGACAGGCTGGGCACATCACTCAGATAGTTCTGCTCCAACCTTTGGTGAGCACCATGGGGCTGCACACAGCCCCTTCCTTACCTTGGAAAAACTGCTGCTGACACAAAACTCCTGAGATGCAAAGTGCTGGCAGTCACCTGTCGTGGACTCCTCATCAGAAAGAGGTGCTCTTCTAGAAGGGGAGACACGACCAGGGAAGAGACGTGAGGCCCAGCCTAGGGGCCACCACCGCCTGCATCCAAATGCCTCCTGCCTGCCTGGGTTGCCCTAGGACCTTCCCGCCTCACTTCCCTTGGTGACTTGTGGGAAATCACAAAGAGCTGCAGTGGAGGGGGTTCCAGGCTGCAAACTGGGGCCTCTATGCCAAGTAAGTCGGCAAGTCCCTGCAAAGACACCTGGTCTGGCTAAGTTCACCTTTCCCGGCTGTTTCTTCTGTTTTCTAGGGCTCTCACCAGGACTGCGGAGGAAACCCAAGCACTCAGGCCTTCCCCTAGCTGACCTTCGTCTGTCAGAGAGGCTGGCTGACGGTGCCATATAGGCAATCCTTTTCTACAACAAATAACCACCCTTGCTGTGTTTTATGTCCTAAATCTGATTTGTCACCTAGTCACCTGATGGGTGTGCCCGGAGCAGACAACACTTACATATTAGCATGTGTCATGATACTAATGCACGGCCGCTAGATCATTGGATGCTGAGAGGAATTTTAAGGGTGTTCTTTCCTTCCCTGCAGCATACATTCCCACTTTTTAGCGTACCATCTGGTTCCAGGCCAGCGCCCTCTTTCCTACCTTTGCCTAAGTTCATCTCTTCCCATTCCCACAATGTCCCCTCAGCCTCCTAGTACTACCACATTCACTTCCATCCCCAAGGAAGACCCTCAAGGCCATGGACCCCAAGTTCAGGCTGGCATACCCTAGAGGGAAGGGTTTAAGGCCAGAGAGTTGGGTCCCAAAAGAATGTACTCCTACGTGCCCACAAAGTCTTCTCCAAATTTCAGAGAAGAATCTGAGGAACCAAACATCCTGACTACGAAAAGCTGCTGGGTCAGACAGGGAGGGTGACACTGAAAAAGGACCAACCCTACTGAAAGCTGGGTGTTTTACAGCTTTAAGCACAGCAGGAATGTCCTGTCTCCTGTCCCAGGAAAGATGGAGCAGGAACGATGGCAAGAGTGGGGAGTCTGGGTTAAAAGAGAAACCCTAACATAAAAAGCTGCAGCACATTTCCTAGGTGGGCAAAGCACTGGAACGTTCTGTACCTCTGGAGAAAGGGGCTGTGAGGGTTTGCCTCCCGTCACTACGGAAGTCAGCTCCTGCCTTCCCAGCCACCGTAGCCAGCACTCGATGCCCTGGGCCAAGTCCAACAAGAAAGAGGAGAGCCCTGCTAACTCACTCCCACCCACGGAACCAGGGCACCATCACAGACTCTAAAACTACCAGGGACAAGAGAAGCAAAAAAAAAAAAAAAATCAAAGAGGGGAGGGGGTGTCACTGCAGGCCTTGCCTCATATTTTCAGGGCTCCAGACTAACTGAGGGGAGAAGGCTTAGTCCCTTAAACAGGAAGCCAAGATGGCAGAAGTGAGAGGGGTCCACCGCTGGCCATGACTGCTAGTGCAAACAACAGGAATGATCTTGAGGAGTAGTGAGGATGTAGTCAGGGGGATCTCAAAGAAGGGGAGGAAGGGAGGGCCTGAGGGAAAAGGAAGAAATACTTTCACATCAACTCCTGAGAGACCAGAAAAGCAAGACCTAGACCCAGCCTTGGGCCAGGGGGAAGCGTGTTCCGACTAGACTTACCAGGAATGGTTTGGTGGGAGGATGGGGTGAAGGGAAAGAAGTAGAGGCCCCCCATACTCCTTCACTGACCCTACAGGGGGACCTCCTAGGTAAGATGCTGTTTCCTTACATTCTCTCCCCTCTTGACCATACAAAGGGGAGCTAGTTACAGACCTGAGCCCCTTGGTCGACACTCACCTATGTGAAATCACATTTGAAAGGAGAAACTCTGCCCTCAAGGCAGCCACCAGAGGAATGCCAAGTGGGCCAGAGGAACTCCAGAGGGAGCAGCAGTCCTGAGGACTCTGGCCATACCCACAGCCATACCCACTTTGAGTGCCAGCCCCTGAGGCTCTGGGAAAATGTCGTGTAGCCATGTTTCAAATCCTCTGAGGAGAGGGGTGTGTGAAGCTGAGCCAAGGTTCACTTGCTCAGCTTAGCGAAGAGTCTGGGACAGGAATAGTTACAGGGTCAGTACAAGGGGGGAGCTGGGTCATCGGGGGCAAGGTTATGAGGGTGTGGTGGGAGGTGGGCAGGAGGAGGGAGCAGGGGTCAAAGCAGGCTTGAATCAGGCCTGAAAATCAATCCGGCTGCTTCATCCCACCAGAGATAACCCCAGGCTGTAAGGCTGTTGAACTTAAACCGGAAGTGGCTACAACCTTTCAGTACCATGTTCCCAATTATCAAGGGCCAGCACCACTATCTAAGTGGACCTCTTCCAGTTCCTGTTGGGCCTTGACTACCAAACTAAAACCAAACCCACCACCATCGAGTCAATTCTGACTTGAAGCAACTCTGTAGGACAGAGTAGAACAGCCACATAGGGTTTCCAAGGCTGTACATTTTTACGGAAACAGACTGCCTCCTCTTTCTCCCTCCGAGTAGCTGGGGGGTTCACACCACTGACCTTCGGGTTTGCAGCTGAGTGCTTCAACCATTGCACCACCAGAGCTCTGTGCCCTGACTACAGGGGTCACAAAATATACAACCCAGCACACACCAGGTTCCTTACCTTTCAGCCCCTGAAGATTTTTCTCTCTTCAAGTCACACTGTGTCCCCAAGACCATCTTTATCACAGCCAAAGCCCTCCCCAAACCCACCAGCCTCTCTTACTATCTGAGGGGATTACCATCCCTCACCTCCAACTCCTACTCATCCCTGCAGACCCTACTCAAATGTCACTGCCTCTAGGAATCCTTCGCTTACTTCTCGCGGAAGTTTGTCATCCTTGCTTCCCAACTCCCATGGGCTTACACGTGCCACTCTTAAAGAGTGCTTACCACAAACAGCAGAAGAGAAACTAGACGAATGGGACCTTCTAAAAATTAAATGTTTATGTGCTTCCAAAGACTTCTCCGAAAGAGTCAAAAGAGAACCTACAGATTGGGAAAGAATATTTGGCAATGACATATCTGACAAGGGACTTATCTCTAGAATTTATAGAAAACTCCAACACCTCAATAACAAAAAGACAAACAATCCAATTA